ATTTTGCTATTTTTCGCAGATAAGTATAAGTCATTCAATTAAATCCAGGTAAACATGTATAATGAAAATTAAAACCTAGGAAATATGCTAACAAGCAGCCTATCGTCTGAGATAGCTCCACTGTTAGCAATGCACATTTCAATTAAAGAACTGAAGACATCATTAGAAAATGAACAATATGTATAGTATCAAAGAAATCGGACTTACAGTTTTTAACAAGAAGTCAAAAATATCACTTTTTACCAAAAATGACAAAAATATTCACCAAAATTAGAGAATTGAAGATATCATCACAAAATGAACAAATCTGAGAAAGGTCTACATGTAGTATCTATATATGTAATATCAAAGCAATTGAACTATTGGTTTTTAACAAAAAGTCGAAAATATCACTTTTTACCAAAAATTACAAAAATATTCACCAAAATTAGAGAATTGAAGATATCATCACAAAATGAACAATCTGAGAGAGGTCCACATGTAGTACCTATATATGTAGTATCAAAGCAATTGGACTTGCGGTTTTTAACAAGAAGTCGAAAATATCACTTTTTACCAAAAATGGCAAAAATATTCACCAAAATTAGAAAATTGAAGATATCAATACAAAGTGAACAAATCTGAGAGAGATCTACCCAAGGTACATATACACCAAGTATCAAAGCATTCAGGCTTTCTTTTTCAAGAAGAAGTCGAAAAAATAAAACATTGACAAGGACGACGGACGGACGAAGACGGACAATCATTCATATGATAAGCTCCGCTCGACAAAGTCGACAGCGATGCTAAAAATCACCCCCCCCCCCTTTTCATACAGACTGCTCAAAATTTAAATCCCTTTCTGACCGCACATGTATGTGTTGCATCCGGTTAGTTATGCATATACAGTTTCCAAATAGATAAAATGCTATTTACAGGTAATGGTGATTTTGTGTGTTAAGTTCAATAAATCACTTTGTTCAAATGTCTTAAGGTAGAGATGCAGTTTACCTGACAGGTATTTTAATTGGTTAATTAGGAAACCAAGATGACTTCCCTTGTCCACAAAACTATATATTTTCGGAAAGCTTATTGTATGAATTTTAAAGTTTTGTTAGTATTTTATATCATTACAAAATGAACAAATCTGAGAGAGGTCCACATGTAGTACCTATATATGTAATATCAAAGCATTTGGACTTGCGGTTTTCAACAAGAAGTCGAAAATATCACTTTTTACCAAAAATTACAAAAATATTCACCAAAATTAGAGAATTAAAGATATCATTACAAAATGAACAAATCTGAGAGAGGTCCACATGTAGTACCTATATATGTAGTATCAAAGCAATTGCACTTGCGGTTTTTAACAAGAAGTCGAAAATATCACTTTTTACCAAAAATGACAAAAATATTCACCAAAATTAGAGAATTGAAGATATCAACATGAAATGAACAAACCTAAGAGAGGTCTACCCAAGGTACATATACACCAAGTATCAAAGCATTCAGGCTTGTAGTTTTCAAGAAGAAGTCGAAAAAGTAAAACATTGACACAGACGACGGAGACGGACAATCACTCATATGATAAGCTCCGCTCGACAAAGTCGACAGCGGAGCTAAAAATGAGGTGAATTAAATGACATTCAAAATTGGGAAATAGTCAAGTATGAGCATGAAGTCCCAAACTGAATTAACCTTTTCACTACCAGTTCCTTCTTTTTATCACAAATTCACAAAATAGTTGTGTTCATAATTTGCACTTTCCTTCAGAAGATTCCAACAAGAATAACCAATTTTTGTATAAAAACTGAAATGACTCAAATTTTGTCTATTGGCTCTAAAATTGGGATTCCTTTCCAGAAAATTTGAAGAATATAAGAAACAAAGTGCAGAAAAATTTGGGCAGGAACATCTGGTGATGAAAAGGTTAAATCTGATGTAGGAAAGAGCTTTGGTTATTTTTAATCCAAGGTTGATGGTTTATGGATTTTCTCAAGCACGATACTCCAATTTCAGGTAGACAGGCAGAGTAATGGCTGTGATACATGTGCATGTTCTACAGTAACAGTCACAAACCCATTCACCTAAGGTTATGATTTCGCAATTAGCATGTACATGTAGCATGTGTGTTTTTTAAACAAATATTGGTATATTTTAAATGTATTTACAAGTATGGTGTACTGAAACACAAACAAAGATGATTACAGTTGCCATCGTGAGGGCTCTGGTTTTTGTACAGTTCATGAGGAATCTTATCCAACCGATTCCTAAAATCACATTTTGAAGAATTCTTGCAGGATTACAACAATAGAACTTTTCATTGATTAAAACACCATAACCTTCAGTAAAAGTTAGCTTAAATATTCCAGGATTTTTAACTGATTTATATTTTTTTCAACTATTATTGCAAGGTGTTCTGCATATAAAACAAAGCAGTTACACAGACGTTCAACTTGTACATTACCTATAGCCATCTTCTTTAGGAAGTACAAATGTCTTCGGAGATAAATTTGTGAATAATCTGACCGGTGTTCCCTTGTTTTTTTTGCCACATTGAAATAAAGCGTGGTTATCATAACCAACCTGCGATAATAAATAAAACAAAGTTTCAGATTATTCCATAAAAACATTAGAAATACTTCCATATTTACTCTATTAGAAGCGCATCTCCAGTAAAAGTGCATGTAAATACAAATTGCATTAACTGTATACTGGATCATTCAAATATTACTTATTTTTATTATAGGTGTGCCTCTGTTATTCATATGCATAGAGAAATGGTTGTTGAATTTAGACAGTGGAGTAATCACATATTGGTATAGACTCCTACTGTGTAATATGGTATATATTTAATATAATTATTAGATTGTGATATGTAGGCTACTATTGTGTAATATGGTATAGAATTACCACAAGAATTGGCAGAGCCATCTTGATGCTGGGAAAATAAGAGTATTTAAAGGTGTGTTTTGGAGCAATGGATTGGCGAACAGGCAGAAAAGCAAAGAAAGCTGAGGAAGAACTCCTGTGTCTGTGCGAGTAAATAATTGTAGATTTTATATTAGATGTATTAAACATGATGCAACTACAGGTAGAAACTTGTTTAACTGAAGTTGTTTAACAGCCATGTTCGTTTCACCTCGATCAATACAGTATTACCCACGATGCACTATTCCCATAAGCGTGGGTATGTGGAAAATCATAGCCCAGCGTACTGCAGTCAAGAACAAGCTAAGAAATTATGTGTCAAGACCAACCCGATTTGCCATCGATTTCCAGGTTCGGGTGCATTTCATATAATATATATAATGAAAATGGCAATTTAAAACTTTGCTTGCAGATTTCCCGGGGCAGATTAACTTAATACTACAGTTCGATAAGTTTACAAACACCACGGCCAGTCACACAAAATCCATCAAAAGGGAACGGCAAGTCGTATAATGTCAAAACAGTACCATGACTTCACAACTTTCGAAATACAGCCCATAGAACACAAAGCCTAAACTATCAGAAATTCGTAACACATAATTCAAATGATTGTATAACATTCCATGCCCAGATCGATCCCCTTGGTACCACCTCATTGCCTCGGTCACATGGTTTGTAACGTAAGGGAAAATCTTGAGGTCATGGGGCTTCCCCTGACCTAGATTTCTTCCTCTGTCTTTGGCTGAATCACAGATTAATGCCTACAGTTCAAAATAGTCATTTTGACTGACCGGAGTCTATAGTGGGTAATTGAACGTAGTGAATTTAATATAATTATGAGGTTGTGAAATAAAAGCTGCTGCTGTGTATATATGGTATAGAATTAACATAATAATGAGGTTATGAAGTATAGCTATTAGTGAGTAATATGGTACATGTATATAATTATAATTAACATAATTAGATTGTGATATATAGGCTACTACAGAGTGATATGGTATATAATTACTATATAATTACGAGGCTGTGATATATAGGCTACTACTGTGTAATATAGTATAGAATTAATTTATTTGCAAGGTTGTGTTATAGCCTTCTACTATTGTGAAATATAAAGATACCACTGCTTAATATGGTATATAATTATGAGGTTGTTGCATACCTTATAATCAGACATATGAAATGAAGGTAGCCACTTGACAATACGAAATTCTAGGAAATAGGGAAAAGTCCAAATAACTGGCAGATCTTGGAAACGACACACATCTGAAAGTAAACAAAGGAATCCAATTTATAATATAATTTGATAAATTAGTCGTGAAGAAGAACTTTGAAAAACACTGATTTCAACATTTAAAAATAAAATCACACCTGTTTTATCCTTGTGCCAAAGCATCATGATTCTCTTTATGGTGAAGGCTAAAACTTCCACTAGTCCCCCAAATGGGGGATCTGTCACCACGACAACCCCATCCCCACCATTGCGATGGAGGAAATCTTGAAAATATTTCTCGCTTTCGTCTCCATCAAAAAAATGATGGTTGAACATATTGTATCGGCAGTAGTTGTTTGGAGGGTAGAACTGATACTGTAGAAAAAAAAAATATTTTTCAGTAACTATTTAATTTTTTTTTCGGTAGATGACTTACAAATGTTAACAAGCAGCCTGTCGGCTGAGATAGCTCCGCTGTTAGCAATGCACATGGCAATTAAAGAACAGAAGATATCATTAGAAAATGAACAAATCTGAGAGAGGTCCACATGTAGTACCTATATGTATAATATCAAAGCAATTGGACTTGCAGTTTTCAACAAGAAGTCAAAAATATCAGTTTTTAT